CAGTGAACATTTTAACCACATTTAATTGTAGAAATGTCAAGTGAAAATTAAAAAATACTCCTAGATTATAAATCAGAACGTAACGTAACAACACATATGGTCTAAATAGAGCATTCGTTTTACTGTTTTGAGACTGGTAAAGTTGTTTCACGTTAGATTTGTGGCAAACAACATCAGCCTCCACTAGTAAACTATATGCCTACAACACGTCAATGGGAAATTCAAAATTCAATGTTTCGGACGCCAGCACACTGTTTTTCCCCCCACTTTTAAAGGCTCAAAATATACTTCCAGTTATCGAGGGTAAAATTATATAGAAATGATCTGAGGGGAAACAAAAACTACTTCGAGTTAGCGGGAGGTTCGAGTTATCGAGGGTCAAATTACAGTAAATGTATGACGGAAATCTAGGGGAAATCGATTTTGGTTCGAGTTAGCGAGGATTCGAGTTATCGGGAGTCAATTGTATATAAAAAAATATTTTCCAGATGTGCGTATATGGACGCTACGCTCCTGGATTTTATAACCAGGTTGATCAATCTAGACTTCATCCCGTTCACTAGCAAGTCCAAGGCTTCAAAATATATACATCTGTTATCGTCTTGTTCAGTTCCAGGAAAATGTGTGTCAGATTGTCCTCCATCTATGTGCTTTTCTAGCATCACAGGGATTTAAACGCAGAGTTCTTTTGAAGCGGCAAATCTGAATGCGAGTTGGCTAAGAAAAGCTCACAATGAGCTTGGTGGCGCTGATAAAACTTGCTTTCCTGCATTCTAAAAGCCGAGTTCCAAAAACCCTACGCGCGGCTTTTTGAAGAAGAATGGTGTACCTGCAATTTGAGACTAAAAAACAAGAGTAAGTATTATCCCTTCAAACTTGAAAATACAGTAAAAACGGCCTTTGTAAGTATGGAGTCCATTTTCGAAAGAGATTTTCTGAAAGTTTACACTGCTTTTGAAAAATCTACGCGCGGGAAATGAAAGATGGACCTTTTCTCGAACAGACTCCATTTTAAATTTAAAAATCGGTTGAGTAGAATCACTATCCCTTCAATTTGAAAACTTCTGGAAGGAATTGTGTTCTCAAATGGCCCGGAATATTCGCGGATCTATCTGAGCTATTTGGGTTGCAAGCTGGACTGTTTTACTTGTTTGTTGGTTATGATCAAGACTAACACTACGCGCAAGCCAACCACGTAATATTATGATAAGCTTCATACTCGTAATATGCTGAAAAAACCATACGCAATTGCTTCAATCTACCATACCAGATGTCTGATGGCCCCAAAAGCTAAAATACTAAATCTGAAAAGCAACACTTTCCCGTTGTACATGAATATCTGGACAAAACAGGCCAGACGGTTAGCCAGTGAATTTAAAAAGATGATCACGAAAAGTAAGAGAGGCCATTGAGATCAAAGAGCGAAACAGAGACGCGGGCTATGATCTCCCTATGGTTTCTTAAAATATTTTGTCACGCAGCTACACTAAGCTCTAGAAGTGTACAATAGGGTCATTTATACGAGAAAAAATAAGACGCGTCTTAAATAAGACGCGAACTTTCCATATAAACGGCAAATTTCGTCTAAAATAAGACCCGGCTTAGCTAAGACACGTCTTATTTTAGAACAGCCCTTAACACCTGTTCTTAGATAAGACGCGTCTTAGCTAAGACGAGAACAACTTCGTATAAATGGCCTTCGCGTCTTACATAAGACGCGAACGCATAATACGCATGCGTAAAATTTTGGCGCGCCTCGTTGTATTGCCGTTGCTACAGGCAACATTCACATGAAAACGAGTCAAGAACAGAAATAAGACGCGAACCATTTATACGAGCTGTTCTTGTCTTAGATAAGACATGCTCGTATAAATGGTACAATTCGCGTCTTATTTAAGACGCGTCTTATGTTATTTTTCCTCGTATAAATGGCCCTAATGTTAAACTACTGCCAAAACGTTATAAATAAGCAAATAAGCGATGTGAATACTATATTGTTAAATATTAGGTATTAGTATTAAAAGTATGGTTGTGCTACTTAATTTGGTTTTAAACATTCCTCAAAGTCTATTAATTTTGTTGTGTACAACACCATTCCATCAGGTTGTCTACTTTTTTCTTATTCCCTCCTTTATTGGAAAAACCAGGGCATCAGTAACCGCTTACGAGGGTATCTGTTGCTTTTAATGATTTCCTAGAAAGAAAAAAAACTCATCCATGAAAATAAGGTACGCACTCCTCCCAGCCAAAAACACGTCCGGTCCAACAAAAATAATTATTGTCCGCGAAAAAATACAATCCCATCGGCTGCCATTTCCTACCAGCACAACCTTGTGTGTTAATGGTGAGTGGTCTCTTGAAGCTGTATGGTGATGCAGTCTAGAAGTGCGTGTGTGTTTAATACTGTTAAGACTGTACTGTACTATCAGAGGAACTCCCCCTTTTCAAAGTGGCACCAACTACAAACATCAGATCTTCTCAAAATCTCTGTAGCAAATACTGACTGCATACATGAGCATTCTACAGTCTGTAAAAGCCACACTGGCATTGAATAATAGTTTAATTATTAATGATTAACTTACATCTTCATTGTACAGCTGTTCGATCCATTGCACTGGGTCAGCGGTTTCAGTTGTGCATAAAAAAACTTGTTCATAACTGTGCTAGTACTTTGTGTGCTTTTTCTCTTCTGTGGCACTGTAATCTTGTAATCCGTATTTATGTGGCTGTAAACAGAAAAAAAAAACATTTCACTTTCTTTGTGAATTAGCCCATTCTGTGTAGGATTTCCTCTCGGAGTATTCTCTTGAAGGCCTTTTGGATAGATAGTATGCATAAAATGTACATGTTTATAATCAATAATTATGGGGGTAAAAAACAACTTTGTTCTAGCTGTTTGGTATTATAAATTGTAATGCTGTATGAACATTTATCTTTGCTGCTAGCAGCCTCTTTTTCCTGGTACTGCAGAAGACCAAGGAAAAGAGGCCTCTGCTAGCAGGGGGACGTTATTATCCTAACACAGACAATTGTCATCACTTTGAATTTTAATTTATATACACATGTTCATGTAGTTACAGTAAAATTCCGAAAATAAGCCCTGGGGCTTATATTTTTCAAGGGCCCTTTTTGAGTGCTTATTTTTGGAGGGGCTTATCTACGAAGGGAAATTTGAGTTTCAAAATCGATTGGGCTAGCCTTATAGTTGAAAGTAAATTTACCGTTTTGGTTTTGTTTTAATTTTTATTTGAAGGCAATTTTCCAAGCACAAGCCCCCGGGGGGGCTTATATTTGGAGGGGCTTCTACATGGAGGGGCTTATTTTCGGAATTTCACGGTATTTCAGTCATGTAGTTTAGTTTAGGTCATGCTATCCTACAAAAGGTTCATAGTACTAAAGAAGAATATCCCTTTCAAGACTCACAAAGCATACACTGTTAATTATGCTCAACACTCATATAAACCTTACCGACGGGAGTACCCCCCACCCCAGGCCTACCTGTCTGCTAAGGCTATGAGAAAGTCTCTAACCTGGTAATGGTTGCTATAATTCTTTGCTTTATAATACCATATGGAAATTTATTTACTTTGCTTTTTTAAGGCACTAGCAATTAGAAAGGTGATGGGGTGGGGGGAAGAAGCAAAAGCATTAAAAAAATCCAGTAAAAGTTTTGAGAAATACACAAAATTTGCCTTGCCATCAGCACAAAAAAATCCCATCTCAGGCGAAGATGGAGAATTGCATTTAAAGAAAGTAAGAGTCATCACTCAGCAAAACCAAGAAGTTGATTCTGTCAACCCAACTTGGAGGTGATAATCCAACTGGACCACAAAAAAGACCTTTGTCTTTTAAAACTTTACCCCTTTGCACACATTGTCTACATGTACATATGATATTAAAAAGCAATATTGTATTAAGAGGGAGAAATGTATAATAAATGTTAACTTGTCTTAGCCGTGATCACCACAACTCACAGCACCTTTAAAGGGACAGGTTCATGGTTCACCGCATGCTCATTTATCAAAATGTTGTTTTTCTGCCAGGACATGCTGTATCGTCTATGTAATAGATGCAAGCAATATGATCATCCCGTACTAAAATTAACGCTCTAACCAGAAGGTAAATCGGGCCATAATTTTCAACCAAATTTGGGCCGAAATAAACCAAAATAAGGCCTTAAAAAGTTCCATCAAAGGTGAACCAAAACGAGCCTCACTGAAACGTAAATGTTTGAGCCACAAAATAAACCAAAATAGAACCCAAATGCTAACCTTAATCCAGTGAAGCAAACCTGGGCCAAAATTGGGCCCAAATTACGCTATCATTTTGGCTGAACGGTAACACGACTATATGACCGCTGTCTACAGGCTGCATATGCCTGTTATCCTGTTCGACCTAAATTAGGCCACATTTGGGCCAAAATTACGCTGTATATTTGAGGCTGACATCCAACAATTAATTTGGGACGAGATTTCGCTCAAAAGTAACTCGACACCGGCAAACTCGAGATTGCGTGGCACATGTACATTTCCACGGTAAGCAGGCTAAATTTAGAATTAGATAATTAATAAACGCTTGTATGAAAATCGCCACAAAACATCAGCTGGATTTTTAATGCAGTTTAGCAAATTAAAATACATTGCTACCAGAATCTTTCTACTGTAAATATTACATAAAAGAACGAAACCGGGTCACGCGTCGTTTTAAATGTAGTAAAGAATTCACGTCACGTACAAAGTCCACTTGTTACAAACTGTTCGTGCATTTCTACAAAAATTACAAAGCGATTGTCTGCATCTATATGATTTATTCACATACCTTAAATGAGCACTAGCACTGCCACGATCACAAATTCCGACGAATACGTACCTTTCACTCACACTAGCAGATTTATAATGCGAATCTTTCAGTGATAGATCTCTTGATAAATTTTGACGCGTGACCCGTGCGGCTAAAAGTACCAAAAACAAAGTGATATATTTTATACGGAGCTTTTTTTTTTATACAGCTGTTTCCTCGCAGTATTTTTGTAATTTGGTTCTTGCATATGTGACGGCCTGGGTAAAAGCTTGATTAATCTCCTTCTCCTTCAGCTGATCCTTGTTGTTTTTTACACAGAAGGCCGTAACATAATCTGAAAAGGAAATATTATTATGTTAGAAGCTTCCAACTATGTTTTCAATATATGCTATAGTTATCATTAGGTACCACATTTTCTGTATAAGGGTGCCTGAATTGCCGGGCATATATAATATTTGGGAGTAGTCTCTGAGAAATAAATTATGGCTCGCCAAATGTTCGCGTGTCGTACTGTGGGTGGTATTTTGAGCGGTTCTGGGCATCTGCAGTCTTAATTATTCTTTTTGGGGTCTTAATTTCGGTCTCGCAACCCAAAATCCCCAAAAGTTTCGGTCATGCAGAGGAGAACATTGTGGCACCATCCCGCGAAGTCTTGAATTTCGTAACTTGTTCCAGGCTCTCGAATAGTCGGGGGCAAGCGAAGAAGCGGGCGAGTCCTTCGCCGACTATTCGTAAGGCCTGGAACAGGCTAGGAATTCACCCGTCGCTACCACGAAAAACAGAGAAGATCTCACATTCACGGCAAACATAAAGATTCTCATTGACACGATTAAAGGCCAATTGGCAGTGGCAGGAGTGGTTCTTAACCTTAATTGTTTTGTTTCTTTATCGACTATTCAAAACCCGCGAAAAGTACTGTAAAATGCTTACCTTTAAACACGTTAACTTTATGTTGGTCCAAGGGACGCTTGCCATCATTCCCGTTTAAACCACCCTTTTTGCCTTTGCCAATCCCTTGGCCGCAGGAACCTCCTAATTCCTCCGTCGTGAAGACGAGAGGAATTAGTTTTTTGAGAAGATGTAAAGGGCCTTTGGAGTGTCCACCTTGAACCACACTTCTAAGATTTATTCGGTTTACTTGTAGGTCACTATAATCCATTAATCTGACAGTGTCGGTTGGCAACTATATGAAAGAAAATTGCACATTAGAAAAATTACCACGTGGGATAATGCACGTGGAAGACCAGCATGTGAAAAACAATGGTATTTTCAACGTAAAATTTGAGACAAAACAATAAAAAGGTCCCTCAGAAGTCATTAGCTAAACTTTTAGCTTTAGAGATAGAAAGGAAGTGATTCTCAAATATCTGAGAAATTAATTCCAGGCGATTTCAGAGAGAAGAAAGGGTATTTCCTCATGATTGAACTCCGCGGTAACAAGTGCACCAGAGAAGGGCAGCTGCCTCATAATAAACAAGCAAACTACCCTACCTGGGTAGATCGTGGCTCCAGATTAGCTCTTACAGTGTATCCCTGGGTAGCGACATCACTTTGAATGGGAAGGAGTTGTGAACCATCAGTAGAGTTTGCTGAGAGAACTTCCTCCATGTATTTTAGTACAGCGGGAGATGGAACTAGAAGTGGAATATCAGTGTGTAAGGATGGAACAAAAGTTAATTTTCCAGCCATTAAGGAATGTAAGTAACATAAATAGATACTTTAAATAAAAATGTATTGCAAATGAGTCAACAGCGGCGATAAAACATGGTAAACGTTTCCCCTCTTTGCCTTTTTTTATTCTTTTAGATGGTTTAGTCCTTCTAGCCGATTTCATATGCGGTAGTGTAACACAGTAGAATACTACGGGCACTATTAGTTAAGTAATTGTTATTGAAATGAATAATTTTTTTTCTTACCTGGTTGGTTTTTAAGCTTGCATCTAAGCATTTTGTTCTCTTCTTGAAGGCGGTGATTTTCTTCCCTCAGGTCAGTCAGCTCATCTCTCTGTAGAAGATCACTAAAACCTCCTGCAGGATATTGTTCACAATTGTCGGTGGAGTCCAGGTTACAAGCTACTGCCCTACCAAATATTTCGGCTGTTTCTGACAGTGTTGTTCGATGTTCCACATTTTGCTGCTGGCTCGTGCAAGGAATATTCATTGGAGTGGTAACTGGAGCTGGAGAACTAAGTTGGACATTTGCCTGGGTTTGCACACTGGATAATGTTGGGTGCACGCCTTGAGGCGGTGCTTGCGCGAGAACACTGGATGGGAAAGCAGCGGAGGGCGTTGTTTGATATCCCCCATTCTGCTGCTGGATAGTGGGAATAACCGTTGAACTGGTTGTGGGCGTTAGAGAAGGAAGTGGGACATTTGCTGGGATCTGCACACTGGGTAATGCCAGTTGCACGCTAGGAGGCGGCGTTTGCGCTGGAACACTGGGTGGCAAACCGGCGGAGGGTGATCCTCGATGTTCCACATTTCGCTGCTTGATAGTTCTGGGAGTATTCATTGGATTGGTGACGGAATTAGGAGAACAAAGTTGGACATTTACAGGGGGTTGCACACTGGATGTCGGTTGCATGCTCGTAGGTGGTGGTTGCGCGGGAACACGCGGTGGGAAACCAGCAGTTGCAAAAGTGTTGTAAATTTCCTTTACAGCACTCACTGAAGCCTGGTATTCTGCCTTTTTGGGGTTCGTGGGTTTCAGAATTTCGTTGCTACTTTTGGTTGCGGTCTTATTATGTGACGTTTTTTTCACCTTTTTCGCTTGCGAGTTATTCGTCTCTCCACGTGGTTTCCGTTTCCTGTTTTCCTTATCATTGTCTTCTGGTGTGACGTCTTTGCTTTGCCTCCCCTCGTTGTCACGCTCTTCGTTAGGGTTGGGACCGCGCGCCCTTTTTGTGGAGTGGCTTGCCTTTTCCGGGAGCGACATATGGATTAACGTTGTTATATTTTCTTTGACGTCATGGCCTCCCTCTATCCATTCTTGTACATGTTTGCTAGCCAAATTAGTGAACTGCTCAATTTGTTCTTTTTGATCTAAAAGGGCAAATAAAAAATCATTGCCCCAGTTGTTGATGAAAATCATTCTGCATGTCCGTCAAATATCGTAACAGCAGTCATCTTAACTATGGCGACAATTCAGGTGTCACCTATCACGGCTTTTTCAAGGGTCATGCATACAGTGGTCACTTCAGGGCCATCGCCGCGGATCGCCTAAAATTTGCATTCTAAATCGGCTGTCTATAAAAATAAGAACGTCTTAATTTTGTGGAAACATCGTCCTTTGTGTTCTGTGTGCTGCACTATGATTACACTTACTACAAACGTTGGACTGTTCTTGTATTAAACGATTCCTACATTTTATTTTAAATTAACACACTCGGATACAACCGAATAGTGCCTAATTTGTTTAATAAACGCCTAACATACTGCTGGGGCGCTCCTATGTTACCCGCAACCGGCGAACACAGCCGTGTGTTTTATGAAATTGTTCCAGAACAACGTTCAACTGGTTTGTGAGACAGATTAGGCTCTCGAGATAAACATGTTCTGAAGAAGACTTTTGCGTTTTCAAACAGTCATGACCTGTTCACGGGCCGCCAAAAGAGAGGGCTACGTACGTTGAACATGGAAGAAGAAAAAACAAAACTAACCTTAAATACAACTTAAAACACAGAAACTTACCTTTATCGGCAGTCTTTAAAATTATACCGATAAACCTTTGTCCTGCCCATTTTACTTCTACCTCTTGCCCCGCTTCAAACGGGCCTCGCAAGGCACAGCGACTTTTGGGTACAGTGCTGAGACTTTGATCGGAATAAAAATAGATGGAGCTATAAAAACTCATTTTCAAACTTCCAAAAGTTAAGTTTCAAAGCAACTTAGATTGGGAAAACGCGTACAATGTACAGTGTGCTCTCTGTGTTAAACGAACGTTTTGCGCTCACAAAATTGCAACTAACGAAAAACTGAAATGCCCGCCAAAACAAACTGACCAATAAGAAGTGTCTCTTAAGGCCATGTGAACATATCCCCAGATCAATTACAATCAGACTACGGTGGGCTACGCGCTAATGCTTGAGGTCACACTAGAGGAAGTTTATTATGGTAAACTCAAGTTTAGCATGGTAAACTACGGCGGAAAGAACAAAGATGACCCATCGCTGTAGCCTGTGTACAGTCCCCACCCCCCTCTCCTCTTAGAGAGCCTGTTTATAGGCAAAATTGGTGCAACATGGACTTTAACGTGACAGAGTTTTTGAGATAAGAAAGGTTTTTGACACGCGATCACGCATCACGCGAGAAAAGACGCATGGAAAGTTTCAAATATGTTTTTAAGTGGACCTGTCAGGTTTACTACGGTAACGTAACGACGATGTTACGAAGTGTACCATAGTAAAGCCCTTTTTACTGTGGTAATTGTAAAAGCTTTTTAATATGTTGTACCGTCACGATACAAATACATCATTTCTAGCTATTTAAATCCAGCTGTAAGTGGTTGGAAGTGTTCAGGGGTAAAACATTCATTTATTATCAGCCACGGAGGACAATGGCCGCCGTTGCCAATGACATGACAAGTGTTTGGTTTCGTGCGTGCAAATCTGCCCTTAGCCAAATTGAAAGGTATCCTGTGTCCTGTAGTGCCATTCATAGTAAACATGATGGAAGAAACTACCAGAGTAGTAGAGGCATCTAGTGATGATGAATTCAGTTCTGTTGTGATTCCAATTTTTCCTAAATCTGTTGTAACTGCTCATGAATGGCAAGAAGTTCCCGATCCATCGACAATCTCATCCACAGAAACTGAACCAGCTGATAGCGTGAGTGAGACTTCGGAATTTAGCAATGCTGATCACGAATCACCTATCTCACCGACCAAACGGACTAGATGGGATTCAAACCGGGAGGATAACGAAGAAATCGTAAATGATGAAATACACAGTATGGCTGAAGTTACAGTTGCGGACTGGCTAAATTTTGAAACGCCAGCTTCATCGGCCTTTGTAAATGTAGCTGATCCTCTTAACAAAGAAGATGATCTCATGTGGGATGACCGCCTTGCTGTCCTTGTTGAAGAAGTAGAAGAAGGCCTACGTGATGAGGAAGCGATGTATGATACTAATGACGATGAATTCAGCGAAGTCAGTGAATGTATTAGCTACAATTCTGAAACATTTGAAGGCAGGGACACTTTGACACGGCCAGTTTCATCTGGGGAAGAAAATGAACCACCTCAAACCGCAGAGAACAATGATAAAAAACCTTTGTATCCCGAGGCAACAATTGCAGTTGGTGCCGTCATGGTTCTGCTAGCTCTGTTCACAATAAAGCACAATCTTCCCGCTGAAGCCATCCAGAATTTGTTAACCCTTTTCTCCTTGACACTTCCATCCTCACATTGTCTGCCTAATACCGTAAACAGGTTTAAGAACTACTTCAAAAGCCTTCGAAATCCACTTCGCATTCATTATTACTGTGCCTTTTGCTTGATGTATATCGAATCGAAAACAGCAACAACATGCCCCAATGGAAGTTGCCTTCAAGATTTGAAGAAACCAAAGTCATTAGCCTATTTTATTGAAATACCCATCTTGGAACAATTGAAATGTTTTTTCTCAAGGCCGACGTTTTATGATGATGTCCAACACAGGTTCAAACGAACAAAAAAAGCTAGCGATAATATCGAAGACGTTTATGACGGGCAACTTTACAAGGAACTCTGTGCAAAAGGTCTTTTATGCTACAAAGACAACATTTCTTTTTTGATGAATACTGATGGCGTCCCTGTTTTTAAATCCTCGAAGGTGTCAATTTGGCCGCTTTATTTTATTATCAATGAACTGGATTACCGAAAACGACTATCAAGAGAAAATATGCTATTTGCTGGTCTTTGGTTCGGAGAAAAGAAGCCAGCAATGTGGACATTTCTAAAGCCACACATGAAAGCCCTTAAAGATCTTGAATCAGGTGTGGAGTTGGAGTCCCCTTCTAGAGGAAAGTTTATTTGTAAGGCTGTACTTCTTGCTTGCACATGCGATCTGCCCGCACGTTGTCTTGTTTGCAACAGCATGCAATACAACGGGGAATATGGGTGTTGGAAGTGCCTTCAGGCTGGTCAGACTGTGAAAACTGGGCCAAAAGGACATGTTAGAGCTTTTCCTTTCAACCACGCAGATCCTAAAGGACCACTAAGGACAAATGAAATGACATTAGAACATGCTAAAGACGCTATGCAGGAACAGATGGCGGGAAAACCCAGGTATGCTATTAAAGGTGTCAAAGGTTTCAGCTGGCTTTCCATTCTTCAGCATCATGATATTATTCGAGGAACAGCGATTGATTATATGCATGGTGTACTCCTCGGTGTACAAAAACTGCTTCTTAACTTGTGGTTCAACAATAGCTATTCGAAGAAAGGGTTTAGTTTATACAATATGGTCAGTGTTGTAGATGAGCGTTTGAAGAACATTTCTCCAACTCTTGACATAAAAAGACTCCCGCGGTCCATCTCAGAGCATTTAAAATATTGGAAAGCCAATGAGCTGCGTTCCTTTTTGCTTTACTATGGACTTCCTGTACTCTATGGCTTACTACCAGACGAGTATTTTGAGCACTATTTCTACTTTGTGCGAGCAATTTACCTCCTTTTGCTGGAGAGTATTTCGGAAGAACAACTTAAAGTAGCAGAGCAGTTACTTCAACAGTTTTGTTTCAAATTTAGCCAACTCTATGAACTACGATACCAGACTTTAAACATTCATCAACTTTTACATCTGGTAGATAATGTGAGAGACCTTGGCCCTCTCTACACACACAGCTGTTTCTCCTTTGAGGATAAAAATGGGTTTGTCTTAAAACTCATCCACGGAACACAGTTTATTGACAGCCAAATTATAACCGCTGTATCCTTTACCCAAAAGTTGCCTGAGCTTAGAGAGCAATGTATAACGCCGGGCTCTGAGGAAGAAGGGCTGTATTATGAGTTGCTGCATCCTAACAAACCAAAGCGAAAATTGGAAATCCTGCCGAGTGTGCATACACTGGGCTCATTTTACCGGAAACGCCTTGATGATAATGAATTCCTAGCAATTGAAAGGTATTTTGGTCACGCGCCTGTAACTGCCGAAGTGAATGCATTCAACCGCATCGAAATGAATGAAACATTGATTTACGGTTTGGATTATAAAAGAATGTTCCGAAGGAACTGTTCAACTATACAATATCGTTTTAATAACGTTAGCCATTTTGCCCAGGTTAAGTGTTTCTTTCAGCTAAGTTTAGGAACTGATATACAGAATGTTGCATTGATTTATCCCTTGGAGTGTTGTTCGCCTTACAATCCCGCATCCACGCACATCACAGCAGTCACGCGAATTAACAGCTTACGTGTCATTAACATTAAAGATATCTGCAGAAACTGCATTTATATCACAATTGCTGGAAATGACAAGGAGCACAATTATGTTTGCGAATTTGCGAATAAAATAGAAACAGATTAGTCGTACGGATCCTTACGTGTAAGGCGAGGGAATTATCGCTGTAGGTACGTATTGTATCTGTTAATGTTTACATAAGTTGCCGAGTTAAAGACTTTGTCGCATTTGCTTGTAAAAATCTCCTTTGTTCCTAATTTTACTTGATTAAAGTTTTCCTACTATTACATGTCTCGCTTAACTCATAAGTAGTGCAGAGCTTTGTTTACTGGTGGCTAAACATGCGACTTGACTGTATAATTCGCTAGCGGCCATAATGATCGACCGAACGCCTCAACAACGCCAACAAAATTACGGCCTCCGGCTTTTATAAACAGCGACCTAATCTACAACTAAAAAAATTTTGGCTGCTTTAAGGTCGTAGCGCGTTCAAAATGAGAGCCTAAATAACAGCCCAAAGCGATTTTGGTTAGATTTGGGTTATCAACGGTAGACCAAATTTACGACCTAAAAAATTTTGCCTGCTTTAAGGTCGTAGCGCGTTCAAAATGAGAGCCTAAATAACAGCCCAAAGCGATTTTGGTTAGATTTGGGTTATCAACGGTAGACCAAATTTACGACCTAAAAAATTTTGCCCGCTTTAAGGTCGTAGCGCGTTCAAAATGAGAGCCTAAATAACAGCCCAAAGCGATTTTGGTTTAGATTTGGGTTATTTATGGTAGACCGAATTTACGACCTAAAATATTTTGTCTGCATTTGGTCGTTTTTGGTTCATGGCGTTGAACTTAGAAACAAAAAAAGAAACAAAATTTTTTTGGCTCAGGCTGTTAGGTTCAGCTTTGGTTGATCTTTTGCTCTATGTTTCCATTTAAGGCCTCATTAAGGCCTTATTTTGGTTCAGTTAGGCCATAAGATTTCGTACGGGATATCATAATGTTGTCAAAGAACCAATCTGCACACTCCCCTGGCAGTCACTTGCACTTGATCAACTTAAATATTTGCAAATAGCTGTAAATTAATCAACCATGGAATAAAACCTTTGGATCAACAATAAATTCAACGTTGGTAGTGTTGGCATAATCCATGAGCTTTTCTGCGATTTTAGTACTCCTCCATCCTACTTCAGGTTTTTCTGAAATACACTTTTACTTTGAAATACCTCTGAGATCGCTGAGATACATGTGAGTGGGATTATTAACCGACAGAATAAAAAATAAATTGGAAAAAAGTAATTTAATTAATGAGCATGCGCTTAACCATGAACCTGTCCCTTTAATCCCTACTGAGAGTTAATTTATGCAACTTACGTTAGAAGGAAACAAAAAAATTAAATAACTAATGTAAGTCTTTTTAACTCTATTCTTCATAAAAAAATAATCACAATGGGAAGTCATAAAAAACCACTCTGTGTTGG